CACCGCCACAACTGCCCTCCCTCTCTGTGTGCGCGTTTCAGGTTTACGGGCGTGTTTGTGTTTCTGTACGGCATCTTCTACTTTGTCGAGCGGTCAAACATGTCTGGCATGCTTCAGACGGTGCAGTACTTTGGGTATCTCTTCATCGCGTGCTATGCGCTCTTCCTCATGCTTGGCTCCGTTGGCTTCCTCAGCTCCCTCTCCTTTGTTCGATACATCTACAAGAACGTCAAGTTGGACTGATCTGTCAGTCTGTCTGTATTTGTGTGCGGGTGTGTGTGTGCTGTCTGTCTGTGCTTGGTTCGTGCGTGTGTGTTTGTGAGTGCGTGCGTGCGTGTGTGTGTGTGTGTGTGTGTGTGTGTGTGTGTGTGTGTGTGTGTGTGTGTGTGTGTGTGTGTATTTGTGTATGTACCTCCCTGTCTCGCTCTGTCCCTCTGTGTGTCTGTGACATGGTGTGCGTGTGTGTGCTGTGTGGTGTGCGTCAATGTGCTTATCGGCTACTGTTCAAGTGGCCCTCTGTTATCCAATTGTGGAGTACAACATTCGCCAACGCCATGTCCGTGACGTCAAACACCAGCAACCGGAACACCGTATCACGAAATCGTACAGGAGCGCACACCCACGCCACCACAGACACATGGGCATCCGTGTGTATTTGTGGCCACACACCGATCAAGCCATTGCAAAGAACCAAGCCAATCCACGCTACCGTCATCAGCATCATCATCCTCATCATCGTTACTTACAAGTGTATTCTGTTTTCATATTGCAAGTGCCGTGAGTTGCCGAACAACACCATCACCAACACCATCACCATCACCGCTATTGGCGCCATTGTGATGCTGTCCCATCATCTCTCTTTTCCGCTGCTGTGCTCGTGCAAGCGCTTTCATCTGCTTCTTCTCCTGCCGCCGCTCCCGCTTCGACTTGGCCGTCAGCGCGACCCCAGCCGAAGGTGGTGCTGTTGTCGTGGTCGCTGTTGTTGATGCTGTGACTTCTGCGCCGTGGCGCTTCGTGCTGCTGCCGCTGCTGCTGTTGGTGCCTTTGTTGTTGCTGTAGCTGCTGTGTTTTGGTGGAGTGTGGTGCTGCGAGTTCTCATCTGATTTCGTGTTCGCTGCTGTATTGATCTCCATCTTATTTCCCGCCTTCACCTCATCGCCACCACCATCATCGCCACCAGTCCCTCGCTCCTGTGGCTGGCTCTTCTTCTTCTTCTTCTTCTCCCTCTCCTTCTCCTTCTTCTTGTTCGATAATGCCTCGGGCGCTGGCTCCTTTGATGCCGCGTTGCTGGAGGAGAAGGACGCGCCCGTCTGCCAATCGCACGTTCACACATGCATGCACGTGTGCACATCAAAGGTGAGTGTCGGTGTCTTGGGAAAGCACGCGTACACATTACACCACACAGCACAGCACAGCGCAGCACAGCACACCTGCTTGATGTGTATTTGGGCCACGTCTCCGGAGCTTGGCGATCGCACGGAGGAGTCTATGCGCGATGCAGCAAGGCGGATAAACGAGCACAGGAAGGTGTGAGATGGTGAAGGGGTGCGCAGCTCCAACACACGCAATGGACCTCTTCAAGCAAGAATGTCACCAACAACTCTCTTCCTGTACGCACGCGCATGCACACACATACAGTGCTCGTAGCTGTGATAGGCGAGGTGGATTTGCTTCTTGGCGGCCTTTCCATCCTCATTCGCTCGTATGACCCACACGGGCTGATCGTGCTGATGCACAGCGATATCTGTGTCAGACAAGCGGGAGTATGCTACAAGACAATCGTTGCCTCCAAACTCGCCCGGCTTTCTCAGCGTGTCGACTGCACGTGAAAACAAAACCGAGGACAGGTGCGAATAAGAAACGGATGTGGCTAGATGCATGGCATGGTTGATGGGTCTAACTCCACCCAAGCTTTCACGCAAAATGCACACAACTCGTTTGCACACACAATTGCACATGTACGCACGCAAAGGTAAACACAAACACACACATACACAGACAACTGCACATACGCGCACGTGAAGACAAGCACACACACACAAATACACACACACACACACACACAAACACAAACACAAACACAAACACAAAGAAACACACACACAAAGAAACACACACACAAAGAAACACAAACACACACACACACACATGTCATCAGGACTACATGCGAAGCACTCACTGTAGGATTCGAAGGTCTGGTCGTCTGCGACAAATGGTGCAAAGTATTCCTTGCTACGAAGCATGTAGTCTGTGACATCGCGGCGGATGTCGCGGTGATGCTTTTCCGTGTTGTAGAGCTGGTCTGAGATGGCCCGGAACATGCAGTTGCCATCACCCACCACCTCCCGCAACACAAACCCTTGCCCGTGCAGCTGGTGCGCCAGCTTCTTGTCTTCCTCCAACTCCCCCCAGTCACGCCGCTGCTCACGCGCATGCTTGCCCCCCTTGTTCTTGTGCTTGTGTCCCTGCCGCCTTCCTTCCCGCCGATGCTGCTGCCCTCCCCACCTGTCGTTCCCGTCATCATAACCATCATCAGCACGCTGTCGCTGCTTTGCGCTGTTGTCCTCCTTCTTCGCCTTCTTGCCCTTCGCCTTCTTGCCCTTCGCCTTCTTACCCATCTTTGCCTGTCGCCTGTCGCTGTTTATGCTGAGTCAGCATGAGCTGAGTCATTCGGCCAGCCACCACAAATACACACACAACGAAACGATCAGCCAACCAACCAACCAACGCACCCAACAAGACGAGCAATAGCAGCAAGAAGCAAGCAAGGCCACACAGGGAGCACACGCACAGATCACACACACAAACATACAGTGGAAGTACCCCACGAGCGAGGCTGACAGAGCGTGTGAGACTCGGCGGCAGCGGTGGTGGCGGTGGGGTGTGAATTGCGGTGGGGTTTGTGTGTGACGATTTCCTGCTGTTTCTGTGAAGAAGACAAAGGTCGCGGCCAGGCAAGACAAGACGTGCGTGCGCGCCGGACACACCAAACCGGAAGAAAGGATGGGAGATACGATGGAGCTGCGGGAACCTCTGCTGTCGGCCAATCAAGGCTATAACCACCATGCAGATGGTGGTGCAGATGGTGGCAGCACCCACGGCGTGCATGCGCAGGACAGAAACCCGGACCTGCAGCACGACTATCACATGCCTCCACGGCACGAGGACTCGGAACCACAGTCTCCAAGGGATGGACGTAAGAGAGCTGCGCTCTTGCAATAAGTCGTGTGTCTGCTTGTATGTGCGTCTGTGTGCGTCTGTGTGTGGGTGTGTGTGTGTGTGTGTGTGTGTGTGTGTGTGTGTGTGTGTGTGTGTGTGTGTGGGTGTGGGTGTGGGTGTGTGTGTGTGTGGGTGGGTGTGGGTGGGTGTGGGTGTGTGCGTCTGTGTGGGTGTGGGTGTGTGTGTGTGTGTGTGTGGCTATCTGTTTCTGTCTGTCTATCTGTCTGTATCTGCGTGTGCTCTTGGTCCCTTTCGTTTGGATGGATCATGAGTGCTGCGTGTGGTACGTGCGCACACTCCTTTCTCCGCTTCCCTTGACGCCCGTCATTCCTTGTACCCTTGTTCCTCGTGCAATCACGCCCGGTGTCACGTGCGTCTGGCGCTGCAGACAACAGTCGGGTGTTCAGGAACGTTGGCGGCATGGACGAGTTCTTCTCTCGGTTTTACTACTACTTCCGGTACCGCGGCTGGCTCAACATCCTCCTCACGCTCATCTTCGACATGATGTGCGTGCACCTTTCCAATGCACGCTTGCGTGTGTGTGTGTGTGTGTGTCTGTGTCTGTTTGTGTGCGTGGGGGTGGGGCTCTGTGTGTGTGTGTGTGTGTGTGTGTGTGTGTGTGTCTGTGTGTCTGTCTGTAAGTGTCTGTGTGTCTGTCTGTGTGTGTGTGTGCGTTGGGGTGGGGCTCTGTGTGTGTGAACCTGTGCATCATTGCACTTGTGTCATCTCCGTGTGTGTGGCTGTGTCAGATGCACTGTGTGCCAAAGATACACTCACATCTGGGCGCTGTTTGACACGCTGGATACAGCAAAGTGTTGGTGCTCTTCCTGCTGATACTCTTTGTCACTTTGTGCGTGGACTTTCACGCACTGCGACGTATGCTGGCCGCCGATGAAATGGTGCGCGCGCGCGTGCGCGTGCGTGTGCGTGTGCGTGTGCGTGTGCGTGTGTGTGTGTGTGTGTGTGCGTGTGTGTGTGTGTGTGTGTGTGTGTGTGTGTGTGTGTGTGTGTGTGTGTGTGTGTGTGTGTGTGCATACACTTGCTCAAACATGTGCACAATCGGCGCCTTTGGTGCGTGGGGACACTGGTGACGTTGACAGTAAGCAAGCAAGTGTGCGCACCGCACCGACCTCCTCCATCTTTGGCACAGACTGCAAAGGGAACACCCCCATCCACTTTGATCGCCTCCAACAGTGCGTGCTCCATGCTTGTTGCATGTACAGGCGTATTCTTGCTTCACGTGCATTGCTGTCATCTGTAAACACGCGTACATATGCGTGTGTGTAATTGTGTCTGTGTTTCATTCGTTCTTGCAATCTTGTACTTCATGAGCAACTCGCTCATTCACACACACACATGTTCACACACACACATGTTCACACACACACACACACACACACACACACAAATGCACCTGTGCATACACGCATATCCCCTACCTCTTCCCAACTGCCAGCCCGAGTACGAGCGTGGTTGGCGTCCTTGTCGTGTTCTGCCTCATGTGGACGTTCTTCCTCGTCCTGCGCCTTCGTCGACTCCGCGGTCTCGTCCAGATGAAGGTGCTTTGTCTCACACAACAGCTGTGTGTGTCTGTGTCTGCACGTGTGTCTGTCTATGTCTGTGTGTGTGTGTGAGTGGGTGTCGATTAGGCGAGTATGCAAACGTGTACACATCGCATGTACATCCATTGCCACGTGCTTTTGTGCGACATTTCGTGGGTCTGGTGTATCCCGCATCCCCTCACAACCACATCACCATCACCACCATTGTGCACGCATTAGGACTTTTACGAAAATGTGCTGCAAGTGGAGAGCGCTGAACTTCAGACCATTTCAGTGCGTGAAACAAAATATCTTGTGTTTGTGGCATGCGTGCGCCAGCCATCGCCGGCACATCACCCAGCATTCACACTCACTCATACACCCGCTCATACACATGTGCACCTACATTTACATACATTCACATGTACATCCCCATACATTGTCACCCATGCACTCTCTCGCACATATGCACATTCATACACACACACACAATCTCTCACACAGTGGAGCGACTTGGAAGACAAGCTCATCGCTGCATTTCAGGAGCACAAGTTTGACTTCAAGAAGCACACGTATGTGCGTGTATGTGTGTGTGTATGTGTTTGACCTCGAGCTTCCTCTGTGCGTGTTCTCCTTGCGTGAACATGATATTCACCCTTCTTCACTCACACGCACACGCACACACGCACACACACATGCGCGCCTCCTGTATGGCTGATGCCGCATAGGGATGTGCTTGATGGGTGGATTGTCAAGTCGGTCATCATGCGCAAGACAAACGGCCTGACTCGGCTGTATTCCAGCGTCCTCCCAACAGCGCTCTCGCTCCCTTCGTTCCCTCTTCCGTTTGCAAAGCACAGCAGCACAGGTGCGTCGCCGGGTCTGTCGCTTGTGCTGACTGCTGCTCTGTTGCAGTACATCTCTTGTGTCTGTGTGTGTGTGTGTGTGCCTGTGTCTGTCTGTGTCTGTCTGTGTGTGTGTTTATGTTTTCTGCGCGAACTTGTTGCTTCTTTTAACCTTGACGTCGGCAGACAAACACTCACACTCACACACTCTCTCACACTCACTCACGCACTCACTCACTCACACACTCACTCACACACTCTCTCTCACACTCACTCACACGCGTGCGCGAACAGACACGAAAGTGAAGTACCTGCCGCGTATCCTGCACGAGACCCTGTCGCGTCTGATTGACTCGACGGTCTTCACATCACATAACGGTGTTGTCCGCCTGCACAAGCAGGTCAGCCACCGCACATATACGCATGCACACGCGCATACATGTATACACACGCACACATGCATGTGCACTGCATGCACACTGCATGCACGTACGAGAGCTTGCTTAACAAGTGCGCAGCCCCTGTAGCAACACAAAATTGTACTCATACCTCGTTTCACGCTCAAACGTCTGTGTGTGTGTGTGTGTGTGTGTTGCTGCTGGCGCAGGTGTCACCGGATGAGTATGAGGTTCTGGCGCGTCATCTGCAGCTCTGGATGCGGGTATGTCGTGCTCGCTGTCAACGCGTGCATGTTTATCTTTGCACAAGTCGCCGCCACCGCCGCCGCTGCCGTTGTTGCGGTGACAAGCTGCTTTCGCCGGCTGTTGAGGCCTTGCATGTGGACATGCGCTCACGCCACGCATTGTTGTGTGTGTGTGTGTGTGTGTGTGTGTGTGTGTGTGTGTGTGTGTGTGTGTGTGTGTGTGTGTGTGTGTGTGTTCAGGTGCTTGGTGTCGTCATGCTGCTGTTTGCGCCATTCGTACTTCTGTACAACGCCGCGGAATTCTGCTTCACGTATTCAGGTATGTGTGCGCGCGCGCGCGTGTGTGTGTGTGTGTGTGCGTGTGCGTGCGTGCGTATGTGTGTGTGTGCGTGCGTATGTGTGTGTGTGTGTGTGTGTGTGTGTGTGTGTGTGTGTGTGTCAGTAAGCGTCATTGAGGGTCGTATGTGCCAATCATTGCCGGCCGGGGTGCTACCAAGCGTGTTTTGCACAAACACATTACCTGCTTCGTTTTCCAATCCAACCACACAAATATATGCGTACGATCGCCCGCGCATTACATATGCTCTCACAATGCACACACGTACACACACACACACACACACACACACACACCTCTGCCTCTCCCAAGATTTGCTGCGCAATTCACCTGGCACATTTGCTGCGCGCCAGTGGACGCATTACGCGACGTGGTATTTCCGATGCGACAATGAGCTCGAACACTACTGCAAGCGAAGGTATGGGTGCCCATACACGTGTTTATGCGTGTGTGTGTGTGTGTTGTGTGTGTGTGTGTTGTGTGCGTGTGTGTGTGTTGTGTGCGTGTGGTGTTTGTGCTTGTGCATGCGCGTGTGTGCGTGTATGGTCTGGACTGTGTTGTCGATTTGTCGGCAAGGTCGGGCCATTAATGAGGCACGGGCTCATGTGTCTTGGGCATGCATCATGGTTGTGGCAGGTTGCATGATGCTTACAAGCCAACAAAGTCATACCTGGATAGTTTCGCTTCGTTCACCCTCGCTACCATCTCAAGGTACACATGTGTCCGTCCCGTCGTGTGCATCTGTGCCTGTGTGTGATGGAGTGAAACAAACAGAGGCGCATATGCTTTGTGCATTCATGCAGCTGTCTCTGCAAACAACTCCTAGCCTTGCCTCTCTACCTCCTTCACGCATACACTTACACACACACATTTACACACACATTTACACTTGCGAACTTGCGACCGTGGCAACGGCCAGGTTTCTGCAGTTCGCTGCGGGGGCGCTGTTTGCCACGCTGTTCTTCCTTGCGCTGTACTACGACGAAGGATTCCTGCAGCTGGAGCTCATTCGCGACAGATCCGTGGCGTGGGTCATGACCATTCTCGGTGCGCCCTCTTGCAAGCCGTCCATGCACTGTGCTTGCATGCTGTGTTTGCGTGTGTTGGTGGTGATGCTACTGCTGGTGCTGCTGCTACTGCTGCTCGTTCTGGTGCCGCTGGTGCTGCTGTTGCTGGCTGTTACCCCTCCCTAACATCTTCCTCACCCCCCCCCAAAAAAAAACACACACACATACATACATACACATACACATACACTTGCCTTTGCCTACGCGCTGCAGCGGTTGCGATGGGGATACTCCGTGGTCTCGCCTCCGAAGCAGTTGAGGTTCAAAGCCCGCAGGCAAAGTGGGAAGAAGGTGAGACGCACACTTTTTGACGCGCATGCGCATGTGAATGTGTTAGTGCGTGAGTGTCTGCGCATGTATTCTTGGGCCTGCTCCCTTCACTCCCGTTCTCATAACATCCACACACACATACACATACACACGCGTGTGCGTGTGCGTGACTTGCCCTTCAGCAAAACGCGAGCTTGTCATGTTTGAGAAGGAGTGGAATGACAACCCGACGCATCCCAACACTTTCAAGGCTGTTGGCAACCTCTTTGACCTCTGGGCGGTATGTTGCCTGACACATGCGCATGCTCGTGCGTGCATCGTGGCGACAGTACTCCAGCCCTCGTTGTGACATAAACAACACCCTGCGTGTATGTGTGTGTGTATGTTCTACGTGTGCGTAGCATGGACACAAACGCAGTTGCTCACAGGTGTGTGGTCTCTATTGTCGACACAATGTGACTGTGCTACCAGATGGTTGTCTTGGGCGAGCTCCTTGGAATCATCCTCGCACCCCTGCTGCTCCTGTTCCGTCTTCCCGCACACGCCCCCAACATTGTGCGCTTCTACGCCGAAAACTTTATTGAAGTCGAAGGTCTGTCGGTGTGTGTGTGTGTGTGCGTGTGTGTGCGCATGCGTATAATGTCTGTGCCCTGCATAAGGTCTGTGTGTCTGTCGTGTCGGTCTTGCCTGTCTTGCCTGTCTTGCCTGTCTGCTTGCCTGCTTGTTTGTCCACGTGTGATCGTTTGTTGAGGTGCCAATCTATGTTGCTTTCGCGTCACGAACCATGGGCTGCTTCTGCCATTCCCGCCCGCATTGTGCACTCCTTTCACACACACACACACACACACACACACACACACACACACACACACACACACACACACAACACCATGCAACCGCAGGCCTCGGCTGCCATGAACGGCACGTGATTCGGCGTAGTCAGACGATGATGGATCGAGCAATCATGTGAGTTCATGAGGAGTACATTGTGCCGCCGCATGTCATGCAATGGCGACATACAGTCACTCAAGCCCCACTCGCACCATGTTCTTGCCTGCTCACGTCTGCTCTCCCTCTGTCACGCCACATCCCAACAAACATGTACACGCTCATACCAAATCGACTTGTCCCTCACGCTCACTTGTGCACGTGCTCACGCCCACGCCCACCCTCTCGCACGACAAAACACAACCACAACCACCACAGCGAGAGCAAGCGGGCGGTGTCTGAGGAAGGGGAGCGGGGCTACGGTTTGGTTGGATCACAGATGCGCCCGCTGCCTGCGTCTGGGTCGGTGGTGGACAGCAGCAGCCACGGCGGTGGTGGTGAATCCCTCGCACAGAGCATTGCAGACATGCCACCCGACGACCGCAGCATCTTCAGCGAACGCCGGCTCCTGGTACTGATGGCTGCACTGTCACCACCACGCACATGCTCATGCACACGCACAAGCACACAAGCACACGCGTACATGCACACGCACACGCATGTTCTTTCCATGTGATACTTGCGGAACCACACTCTACACACTACCTCCCACTCACTACCTTCTACTCACACCTCGCTCACCTCGCTCCTGCTTTCCTCCTCGTTCTTGTTCACCTTCTGCTTCTCTTCCGTTTCACAGCACGTTCGCCAACTCGAATCTGTCTCTCGTGTGCTGCCACGCCCATCCGATATCTAACGGCGCGTCTCCGCAAACAATCCCACACACACACACACACACACACACACACACACACACACACACACACACACACACACACACACACACACACACACATTGTTGGCTGTGCAACCAGTTCTCTCTTCATCTCTCCCTCTTCACCCGTGTCGTCTGCACATCCATCTATCCATCCACGCTACCTTTAGTCACATTACATCTCATAAATGCTTGTTTACCTTACCGATGTTCTGCCCTTTGTTGCTTTCACCAGTTGTGAATGCGTTGTTAGTTGTATTGATTTCGAATATACCGCTCCTCCACAACATGCACCCATGATCAATATGTACATGTGCATGAATCAACAAACAAATGCATGTCGCGCAGCATGCACAACCAGAAAGCAAACAATGTCAATGATGATAACTTACACGCAAGCAGACTGTGGCACATGCTTGTCTCCTTCGCGAGTGTGGGGCAGCTCGCAGTATCACTGTGGCACCACCCCCTCTGTCTCAAAGCACTTGTCAATACAATCACGCACACGCACACGCACACACACACACACACCACAACGAGTGGAACAGACAAAGCTTTGCTGATTAAAGGATAGCGCTGCACAACTGCAAAGCTCCCTCCCCCCCCCCCCCCCCACACACACACACACGCACGCACGCACAAGCTTCGTCTCTTCTTCCCCTTCCTGGAGTCACTCAGATAACAAACACAACACATGCACAGGCCTGCCTTTCTGAAATGCTCTCTCTCGTTTCCTATCCCTGGAATGTGACGCCATCCATCAGAGAACATCTGTTCTGGACCCATGCACGTGGTCCATGCCTGCAAGCACATCTTCAACTGTCTCGTACAGCCTCTCAGTTTGCCGCCCGTGCGTGTGCTGCCAGTGCGCCCCGTACCCGTGCGAGTTGTCAATGGTGAAGCGCATGGGCATCTCCGTCGAGCCAGAGAACAGCGGCGGCTGCCTGTATGTGCTGTCCTCTTGCGCTGCGCCTGCGCCCTCGAAAAAGTACTCCGCGCCATAGCTGACGTTGTTCACCATCGCGCGCCGGCTGTGGCTCGAACTCGAGTCGGAGCTCTCCGTCACCGTCGACGCTTGTGGCAGCGGTGCCCCCACTCTCCTCCCATACAGGTTGTTGGTCACGATGATGCCGGCCTGTACCCCTTCAGAGCCCGTCTCGGATGACGACACGGCAACGGTACCCGCGGTGGTGCGCGACATGGTCATGCCCATGGGCGTGTACCCGGTACCGCCCAGGTGTGGCGGATCATGGGACGAAACAGCTAAGAGTCGAGCACTGCCTGCTGTGCTGCCGTGCTCGTCGTAGCTCGACACCTGCCGGCCAGTAACGAGTGGACAGCCCACACCCAGCATGGACACCACCAGCAACACAATCATCACAGCTGCATGCAAGAAACCGCAACACACACGCATCGACTTATTGTGAGATCAACCCAAGAACCCATAGTGACACGCTCAAGGAATGCAATGGACACAACATGGGCATGTGTGCGTCTTGAAACATGGTGGCTGTGTGTGTGTGTGTGTGTGCATCGACGATAGTTGCGTATCGGCAGACAAAACAACGGTGCAATGTGCACTGTGGTCGAGCATAGCATACCAATGACAATGAAGAGGTTGCTGAGTGCTTGGGCATTCTGTGTGCCGATTGCCTGGGCTGTTGTTGGTAGAGACGATGACGACGTCGCGGCTGCCGTGGTCGTGGTTACGGTGGATGTTGTGGTTGTGGTCGTGGTAGATGTTGTGGTGGTCGTGGTGGATGTTGTGGTGGTTGTGGTGGATGTTGTGGTTGTTGTCGCAGTTGCGGTCGTGGTGGATGTTGTAGTGGTTGTAGTTGTAGTGGATGTTGTGGTTGTGGTTGTTGTGGTTGTTGTGGTGCTGACGCTGCTGATGACAATTGCGGTTGAGCCCTCACCGCTTCCCGAAGACATTGTCGTAGAGGAGGTTGTGGTGATGGTAGTTGTCGATGCAGTTGACGTTGTGGTCGTTGTCGTGGTCGTTGTCGTGGTCGTTGTCGATGCAGCAGAAGATGAAGTTGACGAAGATGAAAGCGAGATAGAGGTAGACATTGTCGTCGTTATTGTCGTCGTTGTTGTCGTGGTGGTGGTAGTCGTCGTCGTCGTTGTGAAGAACGGCGTCGGCTTGATTGCACCTACAGGAGCTGTCGATGTTGAACAAAGCAGAAACGACGCAGATGCACGTGAATGAATGCTTGGTTCAAGCCAGTCATGTCATTGCGAAAGCAACACTGATCAGGGCAACATACCAGCAGTCACAGACCCAAAGCTACGCCGTTGTTGGCGGAGCCAGCACTTACGGATGGATCGGCAGCGAACAAAGTCTGGGGTGCCCGCTACATACGGCTCCGGTGACTTTACAAACTGCACAGAAGCGGGAAAACCAAGCTGCGACAAGGTGCGAGAGCCGTCGTCCACCCCGCCGCCACTTATGGCCTGCGCACAACCAGATTGAGAATGTGAGAACAAGCAGACAATGGCGGTGGAACAGAGACAGCAATGCACGTACAGGGAACCCCCTCCAATCATGGCAAGGCACATATTCGCGCAGCTACACGTGTCGTGTCTGTGAACGCACCGAAGGCCAGTGGCTGTCGTCATGTTCTGGTTGCTCCCATCCTTGGACAGTAGGTCCACGATAGCATTTCCAGTTCGTGGGGCTGGTGTGTGGATGTCTTGCTTGCGCACTGCGACGATACACGCGGTCCTCAGTTGCCACGATGATTGCGGCCTCCCCAGTCGAAGTTTCCATCGAAGCACTAATCTGAGCGCACACGGACTGCTCCGTCTGCAGCACGGGGCTGCTGTCAGAGATGAAGCCAATCGCCGTCCCGTCAACATACACCACGCCCTGCGACTCAATGCTAATCAGGTACGTCGTGCTTTGGCTGCAGTCAGGGGCGCACTGCGGTTGCTCTGCAGGCAGGCAGTGATTGTGTTTGACCACAGACAGCATGGGTGAGGAACAGTTGCTGCAACTGCAAGCCCGAATCAGCTGAACAAGTGCACAATTATCGGCTACATACGCACAGCGACAAAGTTAAAACCAACAGTCAAATGAAGCTCGTGGTCTTGTAAAACTCACCGTCAGCGCGGCACCAGACCTCATCCAGTGCCTGCCCAGCTGTAACCTCGTCTCCCCATAGCCATACCGCCGTCGTCGGAAGCTCATCCACAACACTGTGGTCAATGCTCCCAGGATTCACAACCGCCATCTATACCACAGAAACAGACAAGCGGTGTGGGTGTGTGTGTGTGTGTGTGTGTGTGTGTGTGGGTTTGTTTACCTCGACCTATGAGCAACAAGTCGCCATCACAACCACCAGCACAATGCACACCACTACGCCATTGCACTGCCACACACACACACAAACAGTGCACACATACACATACACACACACGCATCGGACGCACCTGGTCCCAGCTCGACACATCGTAGTCAATGCTCTGCCATCCAGCTGACGGCTTCGTCCGTGTGCACCGCCACTCCCGGGTCGTGCGCGGTGACACCGTGTACTCGCTCGACCCCGGCAACCGTGACACAGCTGCTGCCGCAGACACCCGCGCAAGGTCTGTGTTCTGTGCATAGAAGGCCAGCACAGCATTTTGGCTCAGCATTGCCGTCTGCCTCTGTCCGCTGATGGTGCCCGTCACGAACTCGCCGTCCGCATACCAGTATGTCTCCCCAACACTCGCAAACACCGTCTCAACTTGTTGGCATGGAAAGTCTGGCCCCGCACTCGTCGTCGAAGTGGTCGTTGTTGTAGTGGTGGTGGTCGTTGTTGTGGTCGTGAATGGCGTGACGACGGCAGCGATTGGGGCTGTTGAAATACAAGAAGTTGATTGGGCAATGGTGAGCTCAGAATAAAAAAGCACACTGGGAAGCGTTCCACAAAAGCATCACGCCCCAGGGCACGCATGCAAACGCTTCGCCGCTCCTCATGCACAAGCTCGCACCATGCTCCCAATCACAGTTTGAAACGCGCGGCGTGAGCGTGCACACCCAAGACTTACGAGTGGAACGGCAACGAAAAAAGTCGATTGTTCCGGGCACGTGTGGCTCTGCAGGGTAGATCCACTCCGCCGTTTCTGGGAAACCTAGACCTGTAACGTTGCGTGGTCCATTGTCTCGTGATCCGAGCACAACCGGCTGACGCCAGACACAAACACGCGTACGATTGGGGAATGAGAAGTGAAGTGGAGCAGCATGCAAACACGTCTTTACCAGGAACACAACCCATCCTGAAGCACCATGAAGACGAACATGTCGTGGGCTAGACGCTTCCCAGCAGTACGCACGCATGCGCACGCACGTAAACGCAGGAGCAAGTCAGGGTCAACACAAGAACAGCCGGTGCTCACCCACCATTGGCCAAGAGCTGTCGTCATAGTTTGGATCCTGCCATCCGTGATCAACGTCCATTCGGGTGCATCGCCAGTTGTACATGCTGGTGTGCTTGAAATGGATACCCTCTGCGCGACGATACACGCGGTCGGCCGTCGCCACAAGCAAACCCGCCGTGCCATTATCGTTCTCGATGGAGACACTAATCTGAGCGCACACGGACTGCTCCGTCTGCAGCACGGGGCTGCTGTCAGAGATGAAGCCAATCGCCGTCCCGTCAACATACACCACACCTTGCGACTCAATGCTAATCAGGTACGTCGTGCTTTGGCTGCAATCTTGCTCGCACGTCGGGGTCACTGAAATTGAATTGGATCAAGGTGGTTGACAGTGTACCAAAGGCAATTCATCCAGACGTTGAGTGAGTCGAGAGAGCTGTGACATTGGCGAGCATGCACATGAGGTGCGAAGTACAGCAAACATGACAGCGGCGAGTGGCATTGAGAACGATAGCAAGGCGCACAGAGCAAGACATTATGTGTTGCACAACTCACCGTCAGCGCGGCACCAGACCTCATCCAGTGCCTGCCCAGCTGTAACCTCGTCTCCCCATAGCCATACCGCCGTCGTCGGAAGCTCATCCACAACACTGTGGTCAATGCTCCCAGGATTCACAACCGCCATCTATACCACAGAAACAGACAAGCGGTGTGGGTGTGTGTGCGTGAGTTTGGCCACCTCGACCTGTGAGTGAGCAACAAGTCGCCATCACAACCACCACACATAATGCACACCACTACGCCATTACACTGCCACACACACACACACACACATTGCACTGCCACACACACACACAAACAGTGCACACAAACAGTGCACACATACACATACACACACACGCATCGGACGCACCTGGTCCCAGCTCGACACATCGTAGTCAATGCTCTGCCATCCAGCTGACGGCTTCGTCCGTGTGCACCGCCACTCCCGGGTCGTGCGCGGTGACACCGTGTACTCGCTCGACCCCGGCAACCGTGACACAGCTGCTGCCGCAGACACCCGCGCAAGGTCTGTGTTCTGTGCATAGAAGGCCAGCACAGCATTTTGGCTCAGCATTGCCGTCTGCCTCTGTCCGCTGATGGTGCCCGTCACGAACTCGCCGTCCGCATACCAGTATGTCTCCCCAACACTCGCAAACACCGTCTCAACTTGCTGACAATACTCGGTCGTCGTAGTTGAAGTCGTAGTTGAAGTCGTTGCAGTGGTAGTGGTAGTGGTAGTGGTAGTGGTAGTGGTCGTGGTCGTGGTTGTTGTGGTCGTGGTCGTTGTTGTTGTTGTTGTTGTTGTTGTTGTTGTTGTTGTTGCGGTCGTTGTCGTGCTTCCAAGCCCAGAACCACTACCGAAACTTGTCGTGGTTTCTGCGCCACTTCCTGAGCTCGTGGTGGATGTCGTGGTTGCCGTTGCAGTTGATGATGTCACCGTGGTGGTTGTTGTCCCTGTTGTTGTTGAAATTGCTGCTGCTGTTGTTGTTGTTGTTGTCCCTGTGCCTGTAGTTGTAGTTGTAGTTGTTGTAGTTGTTGTTGGTGTTGTTGTTGTCCCTGTGCCTGTTGTTGTAGTTGTTGTAGTTGTTGTTGTTGTCCCTGTGCCTGTTGTAGTTGTAGTTGTTGTTGTCCCTGTGCTTGTTGTAGTTGTTGTTGTTGTTGTTGTTGTTGTCCCTGTGCCTGTTGTAGTTGTAGTTGTTGTTGTCCCTGTGCTTGTTGTAGTTGTTGTTGTTGTTGTTGTTGTTGTCCCTGTGCCTGTTGTAGTTGTAGTTGTTGTTGTCCCTGTGCTTGTTGTAGTTGTTGTTGTTGTTGTTGTAGTTGTTGTTGTCCCTGTGCCTGTTGTTGTTGTTGTTGTCCCTGTGCCTGTTGTTGTTGTTGTTGTTGTCCCTGTGCTTGTTGTAGTTGTTGTTGGTGTTGTTGTTGTCCCTGTGCCTGTTGTTGTAGTTGTTGGTGTTGTTGTCCCTGTGCCTGTTGTAGTTGTAGTTGTTGTAGTAGTAGTTGTTGTTGTCCCTGTGCCTGTTGTCGTAGTAGTAGTAGTAGTAGTAGTAGTAGTAGTAGTAGTAGTAGTAGTAGTTGTAGTTGTAGTAGTAGTAGTAGTAGTAGTAGTAGTAGTAGTAGTAGTAGTAGTAGTAGTAGTAGTAGTAGTAGTAGTAGTTGTTGTTGTTGTTGTAGTTGTCCCTGTGCCTGTTGTTGTTGTTATTGTTGTTGTTGTCCCTGTGCCTGTTGTTGTTGTTGTTGTTGTAGTTGTACCTGTGCCTGTTGTTGTTGTCGTCGTAGTTGTTGTTGTTGCTGCTGTGGCGGTGGTAGTATTAGCAATGGTGCTCGTGATCGTGGACGTTGTGGCCTCTGTACTTGTAGATGACGACGACGTGGATGAGGAGGAAGACGTGAATGGCAGCTCTGTTGATGATGTGAAAGGCAGCTCTGTTGTCGAGAACGTGGATGTGTAGTCCAGGATTGTGGATGTGGCCATCGTCGAGGTGCTGGAGAAAGGCAAGTCAGTGCTTTGCGCACTCGTGCTTGTGCTCGTTTCTGTCGAACTTGTAGTAGTAGTAGTAGTAGTAGTAGTAGTAGTAGTAGTAGTAGTAGTAGTAGTAGTAGTAGTAGTAGTAGTAGTAGTAGTAGTAGTAGTAGTAGTAGTAGTAGTGTAGTGTAGTAGTAGTAGTAGTAGTAGTAGTAGTAGTAGTAGTAGTAGTAGTAGTAGTGGTAGTAGTAGTAGTAGTAGTAGTAGTAGTAGTAGTAGTAGTAGTGGTGGTGGTGGTGGTGGTGGTTGTTGTTGTTGTTGTTGTTGCTGTCACCGTCGTGGTGGTGGCTGTTGTAGTTGTTGTTGTTGTAGTTGTTGTTGTTGTAGTTGTAGTTGTTGTTGTTGTTGTACCTGTGCCTGTTGTTGTTGTCGTCGTCGTCGTGTTGCCTGCTGTAGTTGCTGTTGCTGTTGCCGTCGTGGTTGTGGAGGAGGATGAGAAAGGTATGGCGGTTGTTCTGTATGTTGTTGATGAGAAATCCAGAGCGGTTGATGTGGCTGGCGTCGATGTTGAGCTTGAGAAGGGCAACTCGGTGCTTTGCGTTTCGCTTGTTGAGGTCACCAAGAGCGTTGATGTGCTTGTGCTCGAGTCCGCGGTTGTTGTCCCTGTGCCGGTTGTTGTTGTTGTTGTTGTTGTTGTTGTTGTTGTTGTTGTTGTTGTTGCTGTTGTTGTTGTCCCTGTGCCGGTTGTCGTCGTCGTCGTCGTCGTCGTTGTTGTTGTTGTTGTTGTTGATACAACTGTTGACGTCGTTGAAGATGTAGAGCTCGCTGACGAGGAAGAGGTTGATGAGGATGAAGATGTTGAGGAGGTCGAAGCTGTCGAAGACGTCGACAACGCGGTTGTGAGTGGAGCGTGGCTGGTGGTGACGGGCCCTGTCCTGAAAGTGCCTGTGCGTGGCACGGTCGTGGATGAAACGGGTGGGATGGCCGTTGGTGTGCCGCTGCACCGGAACTGGCACACGTACCGAACTCGCTTCTTCGAACAGTCAGCATCGTTCCACTGACCCGGCTGTCCAATCCTGCTCGGACAATACAACAACAACACACGTCAAGCACGCAGCCGGCGCTTATCATGAGCTGATGCTAATGTTAAGCTCAAGAAGTCAATCGACCTCAGACTGCTCGAGGGAACAGAGCAGCATCCATGCAGTGAGCGTCATGTGCAAAGACAAGTGCTTGGCTCCACTTACGAAATGTGACCAGCTCGAAGGCAGTTCTCGTTCCCGTTTTCGTTGTTGGGCTCAGTTGGGATCCAGTTCTCGTAGTCCCAAGGCGTTCCATCGATCCAAGTCCAGGTGTTGTTGATTCGCTGCGCGCCAAGCCAGATGGGGTTTGTGCTGCCCACGGTCAGGTTGGTGATGAATTGCATCTCTTCCCTGGAATGTACGCTGGGCAGGGAGGCGCCAAAGCCTTGCACGCAGTTGTTGAGGCTGCGATAAAACGGGCGGTTGTGATCCTTGAAGAACGCGTACACGCTGTCACCAAAGCGCTCCCACCCTGCAAGTGAGCAAACACATGAATCAGGGGGGGGGAAGACGGGGTGACGAGTACGTCACGCATCGACCCACTCCGACAAGGAAGCTGATCAAGCTGTGCTGGGCGGTGGAGGGGACAGAAACGGTGACAAACAAACAACTACAGCTCTCCCATGCACGCAAACGCAACGCGGAGGGACATGCAGGCGCACGCCACAACCCGTCTTGCACACCATATGGCGTACCCATTTGCTCCAGAGTGGCACAGTCGTAAGTGTTTCGAGGTCTTCTGCTGAGGATTGCCTGTGCACGTGCCGGATCTGCGGCGCTGCGCACGAGGTATGGGAGAACGAGCAACAGCAGGAGCAGCAGCAGCGGCGCTCGTATACTGGCTGTGTGGCGGGCGGTCATTTTAGCTTTGAAGCGGTTTCACGCGCAGGGGTGCTGCTCCGAGCGAACCCGACAGAAGAAAGAGATACCCGGTGCTGCGGTTGAGAGTGATGTCACATCAGATATGGTCACGAGGAAGGGTCGGGCGCACGCAGCACGAGCACAGGGATGAGAGACCGTCGGCAAGCAAGCGAGCGAGCAAGCAGCAAGAGCAAGCGTCGTGGCTTGGACAAGGCTGAGCGACCAAAGCGAAGGCCAGGCGAGTCAAGAACAACACATGACCAACAGAGAGTGCTAGCACGCAACTAGACCCCTCAGTGAGCCCATGCAGCAGCCGCAAACATACACCACGGAACAAAACTGTCGCTATGACCACGTTGTTGGTACAATCGATCTCATTACATTGCTCGCACAACCGTGATCCCACACCCTCGCACACACTTTCGCACCACACATGCACCGGTGCATCCATACGAGGGAAATAACGTGTGCCACGCCAACCACCACACACACTCTCTGGCTGACCCGAGCAACGTACCACTCACGCCTTGGGACGAGTGAGCAGAAGGTGCTCGTGAATGTGCGGCAACTGGGCAACACCAACCACCAGTGCACAGTGGCCGTCTGAAACACACACGTTGCTGGCTTGGCGAGAGAAGGGCGATGTGAATATTTACTTTTTCTTCATCGACCGTTAATCTCGGTACGCACTCAGCCGCCCAAGCCTGACCCTCCTTTAACCGGTGGATATGTCGTTGAGATTTTCGATTGAAGAAGCCCATGACTTTTCTCATAGCGCTCGAGTTTCGGGGCAAAGGCTGAGGTTGTGTGGTATTTGCGCTTGCTTGCTTGGCCCTTCCACCACCCCCTTCCGCTTCCTGGTGCCAATTCCCTGACCTGATCCTGCACTGACAGCCGAGAGAGCGGACGGCAACAAGTAGGGGGTGTGCGGACGCCGCGAGAGCAGCCGCTGTTGTTCCACCCATCTCTCCTTCATCACCAAAGTTGATCCCCAACTTCCAGCCCCACGCTCACGCACGAGCCACACATCAACAGCAGCATGCCCGCCACCATGCAGGCGGCGACTGTGATCGTGGCAGCGGTTGTTCTCCTGACGAGCATCCCGTGCAATGCCATGCGCGTGGCAGCGCAAGCGCCGCTCGAGGGGGCCTCGTCCTCCTCGACGTGGTCTTCGTCGTCATCCACGTCAAGCCTGCCATACACGTCAAGCAGTGAGGCCTCAAGTTCGACCTCCTCCCTGGCGTTCACGTCGACTGTTCCAGACACGACATCGCTGCTTGATACCACGACATGGCAAGACACGACAAGTACCACAACCACGATAGCCGCGACAACCACGACGACCACCACAGCCGCTGAGCCACGCACGGCCGTTGCAGCACACGACGTCAGCAGGTGGCCAACCCCTACTGGGGAGGAGTGCTTCTGCACCCCTTCTGGCGGGCCAGTGTGTGGCGTCAACGGCCAGCCCTTTGAGAACGCGTGTATTCCTTCCTGCGCGCGCATCCCCTTCTTCGCCGTGCCTTGTGATCAAGCCCGCTTGGCACAGCTGACGAGCTCAACAACAACCACCATGACGGAGCTCGCTTCAACAACGGCAAAGGATACTGGCATGTTCTCCACGGGCCTGGCCATGGTTCTGTCGTGGTTCTCTGTCACAAGCAGCAGCAGCGTCGTGCTGCAATTCACCACGGACGTGGATGTGAGCACCATTGACGTGAACCGCATCTACTTCTACAGCTCAGAGGACCCCAGCACGATGCTCCAGCTCGAGGCCGAGACGCAGGCAATGCTGCCAACGGATGAGGGTCACTGGGTCCAGCTTGCCGTGAGCGCTTCATCGTGGGCTGACCTTGTTGAGCTGGCTGCCACGCACGTGTTGCTGCTCGCTGGTGCTGTGCATGCCGTCGACGGTGCGCCGTGTCCCCAGATGGTGGCTGGCCGCATCTCTGCGCCGTCTTTCGCGGAGGGCAACGAGCCCGTGGCCGATACCACCGCTGCGCCCACATCCAACACGGCGGGCATTGGCCAGACATCGACCACGGTTCTCGTCGGTACGTGGATGGAAGGTGCTGAGCGCCATAGCAAATGGTTGACTTGATTGTCACGCTTGGCGCTTATACTCTGAGCGCGTTCGTGTGCATGTGTGTGTGTGTGTGCATGCGTGCGTGCGTGTTGTGTGTGTGTGTGTGTGTGTGTGTTGTGTGTGTGTGTGTGTGTGTGTGTGTGTGTGTGTGTGTGTGCAATCCACCCTTCTTTGCCGGTTGGTCCTCGTGGGTGACTTGCTTGACAACAAGCAACCCCTTCCCCTCCCCTCATCAGCCCCTGTCCTTGCCTTGGTTTTAACCATCTCAACCTGAACTCCTCCGCGACATCAAGCAGCATGCATCTCACATCTCACCAACCTGTGTCCCGCACGGTCATATTCTCAACTTGCTGGCAGGTGTTGTGCTGGCAGTATGCCTGGTGCTTGTGGCCATCTCAGCGCTGATGTACGCGAAGCAGAAGCGCATGAGTGATTACAAGCCTCACCTGCTTGATCTTTCGGAGACTGCGAGCTCCTTTGTGCCGAGTCCGGTGCCCAGGCGCAAGAAGGATGCCGAGTCTGGGCTGGAGTGGGACAACCTGCTGCGCTTCAACAACGGCTTGCCAGCCCACCACCCTTCATGGTACTCCGAGGGCCTGTCGACTGGCTCCAGCGTCTACGTGGACGATGACCTCTTGGCTCCGCAGGCAGCGGGCGCTCAGTACGAGGAGGAGCATGCGCATGAGGTGGACGCCGCCAGCTACCGCTCGTCTGTGACTGCCAGCGTCCTTTTCTCGTAATAGACCTGCCATCGTCACGCGTGCGGCCTGTGTGGCGCATTGGGCGTGTGTGGCTCTGTGTCAGTGCGTGGTTGCATGTGTGTGTTTGTGAGTCTGTGCCAGCGTGTGGTTGTGTGTGTGTGTGGTGTAATATGGTTGCTTTCTGCATGAGGATGGATGCATGCGTGCATGTGCTTCTCATGTATCATTCATCATGTGGTTGGGGAGAGTGCATGCGACGAGCTCGTGTAACACGGGCGTTTTGTGGCGCGGTTGCGCTGCCCGTGTGGAGTGCATCGCATAACTGAAGCATGACGATGATGGTGCATGGGCTTGGTCTGCTTTGTTGTGGTTCTTGAGCGCCGGCAAAGCGCGACACTGATTGTTGTTGTTGTTGTGTGTTGTGGATCTGCTTTGTTGTTCATCGTTTGTTGGGCTAATGATGGTGTGCGTTGCCACGCGCCATGGACATGGACTCATCCCTCCTCACTTCAATACTTGCTTCTTTGTTCCCGTATTGTGTTGCTTGTCACACGTCTCATGATAACTTAAAACTTGGTTCGCTTCACTCCACAGAGGCAGGTCATGGAATGACAGCGTACTGGGGGAGCATGGTGTTTAAATGACGTGAGATTACACAATCGAGGGCGTTTGTGAAACATGCACAAACACACACACGCACACATTCGTACACGCGTGTGCTACGAGCATGCACACACACGCACACACACACACAGAGCATACATGCACATGCAGATAGACAAGTTGTCACATGCGTTCACATAGGAAGGTGGCTCGTGATTTGCACAGCAACGCAAGGTTAGCAACCTAGGTGTAAATGAATACAGACAGAGGTGGACTTGTTAATGCCAAGTCCGGGGAAAACAGAACAAAGCACAGGTGTCTGAAAAGCGCACACTTCGTTATGGAATCACGCCTTCTCGACCTGGTGCTGACGCTGCTCTTCCTCCATGTGGACAAACTTGTCGCGCTGCTTCTGCGTGACATCCTCCAGCATGGTGAGGCGCTCCTGGATGGCGTCCAGCTCGGCAATCTCGGCGGCGTCCAGGCTGGTGGCCATGGTCTTCAGCTGGCGAATCTCGAGCAGCGTCTGGGAGATGTTGGCCAGGGCGCTGGTGGGCAGGAACTGGTGGGTGGTGCCGCCGGTGGCCTCGAAGAGCGCTGATGTGGACGCCTCCTTGTTCTCGAAGATGTAGTGGCGGCTGTAGCCATAGTGGGTGATGTTGTGCTCGATAATCTGGGCGCGGAGGCGGGTGAGCTGGAGCCAGACGTGTGGGTGCGTGTGCGCGAGCTTGAGGGCGTTGTACTCCTCGAGCCTTGCTGCGGTGCGGTTGATGAACATGCGCTGCGCCGGCTCTCGGCGCAGGTCAAAGTCCCTCTGGGCGAGGGTGAGCTCGTTCTCGCCAAAGGTCTGGGTGTCGTAGGAGAAGAGGGACATGGTGCGGGCGAGCTTGATGATGGTGGTCATGGCGCCCGTCTCACCGCGGGACATGTCGTACTCTGGGGCGCCGAGCTCCTCGGAGCCCTCGAAGCACACCCCCTGAGGCGGGAAGAGGTCGCGGGCGGCGTGACCGGAGTGGTTGCGCGGGCCTGGGATCCAGATGCGCAGCTGGTTGTAGCCGCGCGGAGAGCACCACTGCGGCATCTGCTTGTTGACTTCGTTGATGTGCCGCATGGCCTCGACGGCCGTGCGATAGGCGTCGGCGGCGCCGTTGGCGTTGTGGTGCTTGCAGGCAGCGAGGAGGTCGGTGCAGGCGGAGATGAGCTTTGGGGTGCGGGACTCTTGCACGTAGTGGTTTCCGATGAAGCCAATTTCGTCGCGGGAGCCCTCGCCGCGGACCATGGTGGTGACGGTGTCCTGGTTGAGCTCGGGCGCGTCCTTGGGCAGGACGCGGCAATTGGCGGGCGAGTACTCGTTGTAGTTCTGCCAGCGGTACAGCGGCATCTCCGTGTCAAAGAGGGTGCAGAGGATGGTGCGGGGCTGGGCGAGCTGCGCGGGGATGACGGGGTTTGCGCGGCCGACGCGGTTGGGGTCCTTGGACTGCTCCAGCGCATGGCGGCAGGGCTGGTAGCAGTAGTTGTTGATGAGGTGGGCGTAGATGATCTTGAGCATGGCCAGGGTGGCGATGGTGTCCTCCGTGTTGGCTGGGTCGTGCAGGGCGTGCTCGGCCATGGTGAGGATGGCCTCGCTCGCGTTGTCCATCTCGTCCACGACCTTTGTGTACTCGCCCGTGCGCAGCAGGCCCGGAGTGCCTTGCTCCGTTATCCAGGGCATGGCCTTGCACAGGTCGTAGAGGGTGGCCAGGATGGGGTACGTGGTGTTGGTTCGCATGGCGTCGAAGGCACCCGGTAGGTCATATGGGGTTAGGGTTCCACGGAGCTCGTTTGGCTTGAAGACGTTCACCAGAGGGGTGCGGTCTTGCCGCAGGAGGCGTCGCCATGTGTCCAGCGTCGGTGTCGACAGAAACCGACTCCCCAACACGCGTGACCGAAACATGGTGTGCGTGCGTGCGTGTGCACGTGTGTGTGCGTGAGCGTGTGTACGAGTTGAGCTGCTTGCGTGGACGCTTGGAGGGGGCTTGTTGAAGGAGAAGGGAGAGGGCTCGGGATGGTGTGAATGCCACGCGTGCTTATTGGAAAGCGACGAAGCAAGCCACAAACAGCCAGCGAGAGCGAAGCAAGCGAAGAAAGGCAGGCAGGTAGGCAGGAGGTGGGGAGACCGAATCGAAGGAAGGCGGGAGAGATGGCGAACGAACACACAAACAATGCACACAGCTTCTTTGCGTGTGTGTGTGTTGTCCGGTGGGCAGCCGTTGTTGCTCGGCGCAAGATGGTGTGTGGGGTTGCTCATGCTTGCTTGTTTTTTGGGTTTTTTGGGTGTGTCGAACAAAACGCACAGTGAGAAATTTATATGAAGTCATGAACGAAACTACACAATTACGCAATCAGAGTGCCTGCAACGCTTCTGTCGTTCGCTCCAAGACCTACACAATACAGTTTGTGGTGTTTGGCGTGAGGCGTGGTGTGTGGCGCATGCGCGTGTGTGTGTGTGTGCGTGTGTGAATGTGTGTGTGTGTGTGTGCGTGTGTGTGCGCGCGCGCGTGTGTGTGTGTGCGTGCGTGTGTGTGTGTGCATGTGTGTGTGTGCATGTGTGTGTGTGCATGTGTGTGTGTGCATGTGTTTGTGCATGTGGATGCGTGGATGTGTACATGCGTGTGTAAGCGCAGAAAAGGCAAGGTGAGTGCGCGAGATAGACCGCCAAGATGCACCCATGTATGTACCTGTGCAATGGTGGGACGCTGTGAAGGGTCCACTTGAATCATGGACAGAATCAAGTCCCGCACACGCTGCGTGTACCTGAGTATGTTCGTATGTGTTTGTGTGTGTGTGTGTTTGAGTGTATGTGTTTGTGTGTTTGTGTGTTTGTGTTTGAGTGTATGTGTTTGTGTGTGTTTGTTTGTGTTTGTGTTTGAGTGTATGTGTTTGTATGTGTGTGTGTTTGCGTTTGAGTGCGCGTGTTTGAGTGTGTGTGAGTGCAGCGACGAAGAAGAACAGGAGGCACACAAAGGCGAAACAGCAGATGCAGCCACAACAACGCAGCAACGACAAGAACAACAAGAACAAGAAAGACTGCTGGAGCTTACGGGTCATTAGTTGGAAACGACACTTTCCCTTGGGCAATTGCCAACGGTAAACTTGCACCTGGTGTGGGCCGAGGGGCAGAGAGTATGCGTGCAGCAAGCAGGTGACAGTGAGAACGGCCATATGGGAAGGGGAGAGTGGGTCCAGCCGTGTTCTCGCACACACACACACACACAACGAACAACGAATGACGAACAACGAATATCAACACACACACACACACACACACGCAACACACAACACACAACACACAACACACAACACACACACACACACACGACAACACACAACACACACACACACACACACACACACAGAGGACCGAGTCTTTCGGTAAGGCTGTAGAACAGTCAATATGGGCCTTTGATAGATATTTAAAAGTCGTATGGCAAGTTCCTCCGCCGCACCACCTATCATAGGCTGTGCCACGCTTGCATTCTATGCGACCATTGGCCCTGCAAGTACAAATGTACGCTGGAGCAAACGCAAGACATCCACCTTCTATATCGATAAAACGCGGTGTTGACGGGCCTCGGCCTACTACTATCCCTATTTCTATCTCTGGCCTGATATTCGTATACTACGAGCAGTTTGGCTTACTACTTTCTTCTCAAGGAAAACAACACAACAACACACACACACACGCACACACAACACACACACACACACACACACACGCAACACACAAACACACACACACACACACGCAACACACAAACACACACACACACACGCATCGCACACACATACGCAGGAGCACACCTTGCGCGTTCAAGTGTTCGAATGGGGTGTCAAGATAGGCCATAGAGTAGAGGGTGCAGCCCAGCGACTGCAACAATTGTTGACAAGTGGGAGACAGGAAGACATGGGACAACGCAGAGAACGCGTGCGTGTGTGCAAGTGTGCGTGCGTGCGTGTGTGTTAAAAATTGGGTTGAAAGCAAGAAGAGGAAGGTAATGTCCAGCAACAACCTCGCGCATAGACAGTCAGACAGGCAGACAGACAGACAGAGTAGACCAACACACACACACACACACACACACACACACTCGCACACACACAGACAGACAGACAGATAGACACGCGAGCAGGCTAACCCAGATGTCAATGGCGGTGGTCAGGGTGCAGCGCGACGGAACATCCACAAGTTCTGGTGGCCGAAAAGGCAGCGTTGTGCGTTCACTCGCAATATCCTGCGATGCACAGTTTTTTTTTTGTGTGTGTGTGTTTGTGTGCAGTGCACGTGTGTGGGATGGGAGTGTGAGCACGTGTGTGTGTGTGCAGTGAACACGTGCAAGCCTCCCACCATCACCACCACCACCACCACCACACACACACACACACACACACACACACACACACACGCACGCACACAGACACACACGCACACAGACACACACGCACACACGTATGCGCAGGATGTCACCTGCTGTGCAATGGCTTCTTTTCTGGAGGCAACGTCGATGACGCCTTTCTCCACAGATCCAAAGTCCATCAGCACGGGCGTGCCGTCGCGTGCAAGCAAGACATTGCCCGGTTTAATGTCGCGATGGCACAGTGGCTCCACCTGCAAAGCAGCAGAAGAGGCACGCCATGAGGAAAAGGCACAGTGCGTCCGCGTTGTGTGTGCTGTGTGAGCTGGGAATGCCACACTCCATGTTGTTGAACAATTGCTTGCCCAGCAAAACGGCGAACAAGAGCAATAAAGTGAGAAAGCATTGTCGCTAACGCCTCACGTTTCATCAACAACAACAACAGCAAGAGCAAGAGCAACAGCAACAGCAGCACTAGCACGTACTCGTGTGTGCATTTGATCGAGGGCAAGGCAAATGCCCTTGAAGAGGGTGAGGAGTTCGTGTTCGGGAAGATATCCGCCTTGCTCGTGCACGTGGGCAACGTAATCCAAGAGGGTACCGCGCTGCAGGCAGCCAACGCGTTGCGGCGCAAGGGTCAGCGGTGGGTTGAATTGTGCGCACGTCATGTGTCATGGTGTCATGGGTTCGAGCAAATACACATGCACACACAGAGGTGCGTACGCAGGCAACCAGTCTCTCGCTGGGCCTGCAAGGTGTCACAAACATTGAGAGAGAGAGAGAGAGGCAGAAGCAAGCCCCTCCCTCGCACATACACACGCACACACACACACGCACACACACACACACACACACACACACACACACACACACACACACACACACACACACCAACCCACTTGCATAACGACCAACCTCGTAGAGCGGGAACACGCAGACGACTTCCTGGCTGGGTGCGCCTTGATTCCTGCGAAGAGAGAGGACGCCGCTTTCCACAACTTGGATGATGTTTGGATGATCAAAGAGGCGGTAGTACTCAACCTCCGCCTTGGCGCGCTGCACCTCTGCCTTCTCCGTGCACAACATGCGCTTCATGGCGTACATGTCCTTGGTCTGCACGTCGCAGACCAGGTCCACGTTGGAGAAGCCCCCCGTTGCCAATCGCTTGCGGATTGAAAAACGTCGGCTGCCAACCTCCACCGTCTGGCCATTCCCCACCACGCCGGCCAGGCAATCCAAAACCCCGAGCCCTTGGCCCATGCCTCACGTTATTCTGGCTGGCTGCACAGTCGCCGCGCGTGGGGGAAAGGGGGTTGGAGGAAGCAAACAACAGACAGAGCAACAACAAGCAAGCAAGCAAGCAAGTGTACCTCTCCTTCCTTCTCCTTGCTTCCTTCGACTTGTCCTCCTCTCCGATTGTGTATTTGATTGTTTTTGTGTGTCGTCGTCGACCGCGCACATCTCAAAACACGAAAATCTTGTTTTGGAATTTCGATTAAAAATTTGTGTATTTTTTCACACAATTTTTACTGCCACTGCTGTGGGGGTTGCTGACGGCTTGCCCATCCTCCCAGTTTTTTCTTTTTTGCTTGTTGTCCCCCTCCTCCCACTTCCCCGCACCACATCTCTGCGCAGCGTCGTCGTCGTGACCCCCTTATCTTGTCTTCTCTCGCTTGCCAACAAAGCAGCCAACAACAAACAAGCCACTATCCAAGAAGCCAACTCAGCCAGCCCAGTGTCAGCAAAACTTCCCAAAGAAAGAGGTGGGTGCAGCACCAGATCTCCAGCGTTCATTGACACCCGCTTTCACCATCACACACTGACACACACAGACGCACACAGACGCACACAGACGCACACAAGGTCACGCGCAAGCACACACAAACTGTGCGCTTTTCTGCCTCTGCTCTCCTTTGTTCTTCCGTTCGTGTCTGGCTGGACCTTCCTTCCTTGCAACAAACACTTGCGCTCTCTTGTGTTTGTGTTTGTTGGCTCTTGGTTGTTGTTCCCCCTCCCTTTCTTCGACCCCTTCCCATTCCTCTTTCGATTGCGCCATCACACTCTTCCCTCCTTCTCTCGCTCTCTCTTTCTCTCCTCTCTTTCCCTTACCTGTCAAGTTCCTCCATTGCAAACGCACAACACACAACACACACACAACACACACACACACACACACACACACACAACACACAACACACACACACACACACCCAAGATGGGGTCTGGGTTCTGTTCCATGACAAGGTCTGAAACACCACGGCCCCCCCCCGTCACCTCCTTCCTCTTCTTGGCTTTCATCCTCTTTCTCCCCATCATCAATCAGGACAAAGAGGGGTTGCAACATTTTTTTCTCTTTCACCACCCATCACGTGATTCCGCACACACCACCAATTCAGTCAGACACACGTGCCATCTTTCATTCCCCTCACACCTTCCCATTCCTTCCTGGCTTCCCCCCCCCCGCCAACCCTGCCTTCTCTCGTCTTTTCCTTGCATGCACAGAACCGCCAAGCAGCCAGCAAAGGAGGAAGCACAGCCGGAGCAACCACCGCCACCCAACGACCAAAACGCCACCCAACCACCACCAGCCCAAACACCACAAACAGCAACCATGAGCAGCTCAAAGGGTGACATCTACCAGGACTCGCTCGAGTACCACGCCAAGCCCACGCCAGGCAAGCTGGCCACGTTCATCACAAAGTCCACCTCCAGCGTGCGCGACCTCTCCCTCGCTTACAGCCCGGGCGTGGCGGAGCCAGTGCGCCAGATTGCCAAGGACAAGGAGAACGCCTACGTGTACACGGGCAAGGGCAACACCGTTGCCGTCATCTCCAACGGCACTGCCATCCTGGGCCTGGGCAACCTCGGCGCCCTCGCCAGCAAGCCCGTCATGGAGGGCAAGTGCCTCCTCTTCAAGACCTTTGCCGACATTGACGCCGTGGACATTGAGGTCGACACCAAGGACGTTGACACGCTGGTCAACGTCGCCGCAGCCATTGGCGAGACGTGGGGCGGCATCAACCTGGAGGACATCAAGGCCCCCGAGTGCTTTGAGGTGGAGCGCCGCCTCAAGGAGCGCTTGTCCATCCCCGTCTTCCACGACGACCAGCACGGCACAGCCATCGTCACCGCCGCGGGCCTCCTCAACGCCCTCGAGGTACAGGGCAAGGAGCTCAAGACGGCCCGCATCGTCTGCGTCGGCGCCGGTGCCGCCGGCATTGCGTGCATGCGCCTCATCCGCACCCTGGGCGCCACCAACGTGCTGCTCATCGACTCGCGCGGCGTCATCTACAAGGGCCGCGAGAACGTCAACGAGTACAAGGCCGAGTTTGCCACAGAGGGCAAGGAGCGCACCCTCGACGACGCCATTGACGGCGCTGACGTCTTCATCGGCGTCTCCGGGCCGGGCATCCTCACCGCAGACCACCTCAAGAAGATGGCCGACAAGCCCATCGTCTTTGCCTGCTCCAACCCGGAGCCCGAGATCCAGCCCGAGCTTGCCCTGAAGACGCGCCCCGACGTCATCCTCGCCACGGGCCGCAGCGACTACCCGAACCAGGTCAACAACGTCCTCTGCTTCCCCTTCATCTTCCGCGGCGCCCTCGACGCGCGCGCCAGCGCCATCAACGACGCCATGAAGGTGGCCGCCGTCGAGGCCATCCGCGGCCTGGCAAAGGAGGAGTGCCCCAAGGACATTTGCGAGCTCTACAAGGCAGACCTCAAGTTTGGCGCGCAGTACATCCTGCCCAAGCCCATGGACAAGCGCCTCAAGCCCGTCGTGTCGGAGGCCGTGCGCAAGGCCGCCGTCAGCTCCGGGGTTGCCCGCGCCAAGCTCTGAACTGCATCATCGGCCCACGCCTCTGGGGTGTGGTCAGGGCGAGCCCGCGCGTTTGGGGAACACGGAACCACCACTGGGCTCCTTAGTCGTTGTCTGTTTGTCATGTCACGCCGCTTCCTTCTTTCTTCTCTCTTACTCTCTGACTGACTGACTGACTGACTGACTGACTGACTGACTGTCTATCTCCGTCTGTCAGTCCGTCTATCACTCTTTGTCTGTCTCTTTGTCACTCACTCTTTGCCCTGTCTTCTTCCTCCGCGTTCACTCGTTGTCTCCTTTGATTTGTCTAGTTTCCCGTGATGCGACGCTTGCTGGCTCCCTCGCTTGCTTGCGTTGCTTCTCCTCGTCCTTCTTTCCTCACCCGTCCCCGTTCCCTCTTTCTTCGCAGGCGGTTTTCCCTCCCGCCCTCTGTGTTGCGTTGTGTGTTGTGTGCGTGTTCTTTGAAACCCACCAGCCAGGACCAGTGGGTCTTGCAGCACTAGCTTGGCACGCTATACCCCCACCCGATTTGCTGTCTCGTTTTGCTCCCTCTCCTCTCTCAACTTGAGCTGCGTCACGCCAGCCAGGCAAGGCCACCTTTGCCTCGGCTTGGTTCCCGCCTCCTCATCCTCCCTTCTCCCTCCTCTGTTTTGGTTTTCGTATGTGCGCCCGTTGTGTTCCTTGACACGCGCGCGTAGATAGTGGACCCTTTCTGTCTCTCTCTTTCTCTCCCCCTCCCCTTGTTGCTCCCTCTACACTCTCGTTCATCATACTTGCTTATCCGCTGACTTGTTTTGCTTTCTCGTCTCCGATAACTGGTTCCTCTGTGATGCGATCTGTGTGCGTGGGCCTTTGCTTTGGTACTGATGGGGCAACAGCGGGTTGTGTGCGCAGTCACCCTTAGGTGATTTGCCCGAGCGCCACGCATATGCTGTTTGTTGCTGCTCGATCGTTTCGTGACAGCACCCGTCTTCCCTGCCACAATCGCAGCATGTTCTGACCACTGTCCCCCTCCCTTCTTTCTTCCCTTTTTCTTCCTTGTTTGTGTCCTTCCCCTTGTTCTTGTGTGTGTGGGTGGGGGTAGTGCCTTATGTTAGTTGCCTGCTTTGGCTAATTGGTCCCAACTGGTTGGTTTCTCTCTTTTGCATCTTCATGTCTCCATCATCATCCCTGCTGCTTTCTGATCAAGCGTGTGTGTGTGTGCTTGCTGTGTGTGTGTGTGTGTGTTTGTGTTTGTGAAAATGGCACACTGTTGCCTCGATCGTCATATGTGTGTCTTGTCGTCTTGTCGTCATGCCATGTGTCATATGTGTCATGTCATGTAATCAACCTCCGCAGCGCCTGCTTCATGGCTCGCGCTGCCCATGTCCACCAAGCACAGTAAAAGCAACGCCACACGCACCAACTCATGAATGAAACTCTGCCCCCCCCCAAGACAAGACAAGACAACAACCAACGATGATGACGCTGTTGTTCAGTGTTGCTTTTTGCTTGCTGCTGCTGAGCGCTGTTGTGAGCCCAGCAACGACTCCGGCGGCAGCATCACGCATTGTCGGGCAGGAGGACAGCGGCCATGACAACGATGACTGGGTAGTGTTGGCGAAGCGCATCTCTTCAAGTCACCCCATCATCTCCAAGGACACGACACGCGGTGCGTGCGACTTTCCCTACAACCCGGCACTGTTCCCTCTTCCCACCGGCAGCGATGACGGTGCACGCAGCCGCGTTGGCGCGCTCGTTCGCTGCCAGAACCTGACGCAGCCGCCGTACACCGTAGCTCCCTCGGTGATGTGCAGCAGTGTCATCGATCCAAGTGGCCGCAACGCGTCCCAGACCATGCACATCGCCTTCCAGGAAGACGCTGTCTTTGAGAAGTGTGGCACCGAGGATCCTCGCGTCGTCAAGTGGGGCGACGAGTACTTCCTGTTCTACACAGCCTACGACTGCACAAAGGCTATGCTCTCCCTCGCTGTCACCCGCACCCCGTTCAACGCATCGTCTTGGACTCGCCACGGGCCCCTGTTTCCGAATGCCAAGTGGAGCAAGAGTGGAGCTGCCATACTGGGCCGTAAGGGCAAGCAGTACCTCATCTGGGGTGACAGGTAAGCAAACCAGTGTGCATACGTGTGAACTCCATTACGTGTATCTAGCTGCGTCTGCGCTGGCGGGGGCGGGAGGGAGGCGTGTGGGTTGCATGGTATGGCAGTGGCATCGTGGAGGTTGTGTTGGTGTCCCGGCTTGATATGCCAGAGGCATGCACACTCTTGACATGATCTTCTCTCTCACTCACTTCACACACACACACACACACACACACACACACACACACACACACACACACACACACACACACACACACACACACACACACACACACACACACACACACACACACACACACACACACACACACACACACACGCACACAGTGCATTGACGCCGGCGTTGCATGTGGCCGTGTCAGAGGACGGCATCAAGTGGACGAACAAGAAGGAAACCATTCTATCCGTGCGCAAGAGCCCATACTTTGACACCAACTTGGTGGAAGCTGGCCCACCTCCGCTGCCACTGCCGCACAGCAATCACCTCCTCTTCCTCTACAACTCCGCGCGACAGGGCTTTCCATCCCCAAAGCCAGGCTACAGCCTGCAGTACAACGTCGGGTTTGCCATTCTCAACGCCTCCGACCCAAGCCATGTCTTGCAGCGCTCGTCACAGCCGCTGCTCTCCCCAACACTGCCGTGGGAAGTGGGCAACACCACAGCGTATCTGACACCAAACGTCGTGTTCGTGGAAGGCATGGTGCCTGCATCGACCCCTCTCACAGACTTGGAATGCCCTCGCTCCCACATTGCCGACGGGCGCTTTCTCGCCCTGTATGGCGCCGCAGACTCCGCCGTCGGCTCGGTGGAGATTGTGGCGTGCAAACGTCACAACGCCACGCCGACACACTAGCAGCAGCATCTGTGCAGTAACGCGCACAGCAAATGCGTGCGCCCGTTCACACCAGTTGCTTTTATGCGTGTGATGGCCATGGTTGCGTTACTCTCTCTCTCTCTCTCGCTCTTGACTTGGTTCATACTGCTCTTCGCACAATTGCTTGCTTGCTTGATTTGACGCACATACCAGATGTTCATTGAAGGTGTGACACGGTTACAACGAAAGACAGAGCAGAAAGCAAACACAAGGGTCACAAAAAACAAAAACAAAAAACAACAACAACAACAACAACACCCACACATAGACACACACACACCCACACCCACACACCCACACCCACCCCCCCCCCCACACACACACACACCCCAAAAAACCGTAAAAACATACGTATATTTAGACACGCTCGTTGTTTCTCCTAGGAATTAAAATCATCTCCATACATCTGTCATGCTCTTGCACATTCGATCTCTCCGTGTGTGCTGGGTAAAAGGTACGAGTGGTCACACTGGGGTAACAAAACTTCAGGTACGTGCGTATGGTAGTCGTAATGTGGGGAGGTCTTGTCGTTGTCCCGGTTGTACAGTAACCTCCCCATGAACCTTGAGGAAAAAACAACAAGAAAAAGCCTTGGGGAAGATGCGGGAAGGAG